TTTTAAAACATATTTTGATCAAACAGCAACGCCTTAAAAGTATTTCATAACCAGATGTTTATCATTCACTCTCTTTTTTTTAATTTTCATGATATACTGGCAATGGTCTTGAATTTTCCAAGTGAACTCAATATAGATAAAGGCAACAGAGAAGTATACCGCTAATTCATATAGTCATAAAGCGGTTAGGCGAAAACAAATCCCGGTCACACACCAAACCCGATGGAAACACATCTTACTAGAAATAGATTTTATTTTTGGATAATTGTAATCTATTAAGTATTCAGCTAAAAAAAACTAAACTGGTATGAAGTGGTTTAAAAGGAGATACATGTTTCAGTGTAAAACGTGTAAGTCGTAATAAAACTTCTGATATATATAAATGTTTTGTTAATGTTTAAAAAAAAATCACAAGCAAACAACAATAAACTTTGTCTTGAAAAAAAAGAAAATATAGTGTTAACCCCTATCTTTTGAAAATGGGGAGTAATTCTTCCCAGATCCTTTACGCCGCGGCTATTGATATAATCTCTATATGTATATTTCACCTTGACAAATAACAGCAAAAGTAAATAAAAACAGTTCATATGATTCATTTTTTATTTACGGTCAACACAAATGTTTTCAATAGTGACCTCACGTTTTTATTCATTCCTAAACTGTTCATGTTAGTATATCAGGGATATTTCATCAAGACTGTTCACTAATATGGTAAAACCTAGTTCAGTATCAGAGTGTGTGTGCATTTGTTTCTTAAAAACGCTTCAGTGATCTTGTTCAGTTATCGCATATACCACTTTACACCCCAGTTCTATTGTTATACTTCATAGTTTCTATTTCTGAAACAAGTGTAAATTGAATAGATCTATTGTTACGAATAACAATGGATTTTGACCACAGCTAGGGTGTGACGAGCGAGGTTTCTGGAAACCCCTGCTTCTACATCCTTAGAATACAGCAAAGTGCTCTCGACCAATGAAATTGTAGGATTTGATGTCTCTTAATTGTGAAGAATGAATGTAAATCATGTTCTTAGTAATGGATTATCCTATTATTTGGGTCTATTTACAGTTCAAAACAAAGAGTTTCTATAAATGGTTTACAACTGCCCCGAAACAAATTTATCAGATTGAAAGGATTTATCACACAGTGATTGAAACTGACTTAAAGTTAAATTGTGAAACAAAAAAATCAAAATAAGTTGAAGTCTACTGGTGCTGTAATACTGGTACCTTTAATGTTATTATGAAAATATTAATAACTTCAAATTACTAAAAAATTAAACAATATCAAAGCAATGCAAAAAAAGAAAGAAAAAAAAAAGTTTTAAAATCAAAAACCACATAAATCTTTAGCTTTCCAAAACTCTGATTACTGAACTAGCGGTTGAGAAGAATAGTTATTTCCAATATTCCAATAAAATGAAAAAAATAGGAATAGTGAAAGGTAGACAAACTGTCCTTTATCATGTCAGAGCCTTGTATAGCTGACTATACGGTATTGGTTTTGTTCATTGTTTAAAGCCGATCAGTGTCCTAAGGTGTTTGCATCAACGTCATTAGAATTGAAGTGGATAGTTGTTTCTTTGGCAATCATACAACATCGCCTTAATTTCATATATAAAAGTATTTTATAACCAGATGTTTATCTTTCACTGTCTATTTTGAATACCCCTGATATACTGGCAAATGGTTGATCTTTCAAAAAACTCTATATAAGATTTTATTTTTGAATGACTGTAATCTATTCAGTCATAAAAAGGACAAACTGGTCTGAAGCGATTTGGAAGGATATACATGTTTCAGTGTAAAACGTGTAAATCATAATAAAAGTTCTGCTTTATAAATGTTTTGTTTAATGTTTGACAACATAACAAGCAAACAACAATAAAATATTGTCTTGAAAAATGAGAAAACATAGTGTTAACCCCTATCTTTTGGAAGTGGAGGGGTAATTCTTCCCATACCTTTTTCGCCCCGGGCTATTGATATTATTTATATGAATATTTCACCTGTACAAGTCACAGGAAAAGTAAATAACACAGTTCATATAATTCATTTTTTGTTACGGTCAACATAAATGTTTTCAATATTGACCCCATATACCTTTCTAAAATTGTCTGTTTATAAATTTTTAATTTGTAAAGAAACTAAGGTTTCAACTCCCTCAGGCAAAGTTGACCTTAGATGAATTTGGCTATTTGTTTTAGGTATTTTTGTCATATAGCTCTTCAACTGTTTCGGTACTTATACATCCCTCGGATTTCCAATGTTTGGCTTTGAGCGTTCCTGATGAAGGTAAATCCAGAAAAGCGCTTCGGACGCATGAAATTCTTAAACGTGTTGTTTTCAATTTGTTAAGCTTCATTTGTCTTGTTCAGTTTTCGCATATGCCACTGTAAGTCTCTTTTAGTAGTTCTACCCTGTCCGGCAACGCTCGTGTCTCCATGACCTTTACAGTGTTTTAACGAATGTGAATTAAGTTTTCAACTTTAATCCATATTCAAGAAAATGAAACCGATCTTACAAGTACATAATTCATTTTATCATACAGATATTTTCCAATATTTTTCGAATAACGCCATTTTTGCTTTGTGGCGGAAGAAAAGGATTGCATTCCAGAAATTTGAAAAGGCTGCAAGAATCATTCCATTAACCTAAGTATTTCAAACAAAAACGTTTTGCACATGTTTTATAATTAGTGGCTATCTATGATTTTTTGGACTAAATTGGGTATTGGGTTTATTGATATTGACTAAATAAAATATGAGTGTACTAGGATCCATTTTTTTAAACCTGCAACTGTACCTGTCATCATATGGTCTTGTCTGAAAATAAATATATATAACGAAACCATCCACTTGTACAATAGATCTTGTGATCAAAGTAAAATGAACTTAACAGGGAATTTTCTTTTGTCTACTACGCCAAAATGCATCGTGACATTCAATCTGTGATAGGTTGTATATTGCATTCGCCTATTTTGTTATTTGTCTTTATTTTAACGTTTATATTACGATTTCATGTCTGTATTTTAGTTGCTTTGTTGTTAACTTTCCCTTTAATGCAGTTTTCAAAAAAAAAACGGAAATCTTGTTAAATATACATCTCTTTGTTAAGACGTAAGGATATTGCATCACTTTGAAGTACGTTTATATGCACTTGGTATAGTTTGTGTTTAATATTGCGTCATCCACATTTCAGAACACTTGGCAATATATAAATGAAAAATGCAATTTTTTGGTTGAGCATGGAACCTTAAAGTCTTGAGATGTTTCAGTTTTAATCGGAAAAAACTCGCACTGCGTGTAGTTTCACGTTTTTATGTAAAACCTAGAGATACTATCTCGTGAAATCCAACTGCAGTTTTGCAGTTGCGGATATCAATAATGGCATTGCGAGTCAGTTCTTCTGATTACACATATCTCCCCCTTTTTATGCTTCAGATAAACTCAACAACCAAACGGTCCAACTATCTTACTTAAAACCTTCCACCCATTTATCAAACACAGACAGTTTTGTTAAGGTATTTTAAACCGTCTTCGGGGGAAATATTGTTTCTTTTGTTCTCAATCATTGCAGTGTAAAAAGACAAACAAGATTTGTGATCAAAATCTAACCGCGGGGCTGTTTTTGGGAAATGACAATCCGTTGCCTTCTTGTTGAATAGTGATAAAAAGAAAAAAGAAATGGTTAATGAGGGGGTTGAGATCTCAAAAAAGTACTTAAACCCCACCAAATGTACATGTGCTTGTCCTACGTTTAGACCCTCGTCAGTAGTTGGCTTTTGGCTTTTAGATTTTGACCTCTTTTTTTTGCAATTTTTAGACTCATAATAACATATTGTATGGACAGTATATTGTTGAAGATTGTATAGTGACTTCTAGATGTCTTTTGGTGATAAGTGTCGTTAGGTTGCTCTCTTATTGACATATGCACGATATCTTCTTTTATGCATATTTATCTTACGTGACTTGTATATACATACATGTATACACGCATGTTTCCTGTATGGTCAAAACATGTCATACGTCTTATAAATGTGACTTACGCGCCAATCTTGTGATCAGTCTTATTGTTTGCATGTGACTGACGATATTTTTTCTTGTACGCCTTTAACAAATAAGCCGGGGGTTTTCGTTGGGGTTTACAGAATGGAAATTCAAAATATTGGGCAGAATTACGGGCTCAAAATAAAGAAAAGAGAAAAAAAGACAAAACAAATAACGATTTGAGAATAATGGGAGCTAAAATATAAAGAATAGAGAATACTGGGCAAAAAATAAAATGAATAGAAGAAAATGACTTAAAAATTGAATACTATAGTACATAAATGAAAGCCCCCTCCATCCAGAACCTCAAATAAGAACTCAAGCAGCACGATAAGTGCTAAAGGACTTATAGGTCAACATATGGTCTTCCACAATAGACAATGCTTAAAGAATATTATATGTCAAACTCTTTATCTAACGAGTCTAGACGATTTCATTATTGTCTAACATCAGCTCTCCTTTTGTGACTTTAACAGATCAGCAACATTATCTTGATAAAATAAAAGAAAAGAAGAATATATATATGTAAACCAACTAAGAAATTTTCTGAAAAGCTACTGCAAGATCCTCAATATCTTCACCCTCCCCCCACCCCCCTAACCATCTTAATCTATTACATATTATTTAAAAGTTTTAACCATAAGAGACTGAATAAAAGGGTCGAAATGATAGGGCGTGATGAAAAGAAAATGGAAGACAGGTCGGGTAGATGGGCGGATCCAGGTTTGAGGTTAGCGGAGCTTTACCGTATAAGAATTGCTGCGATCGGAGGAAGGCAGAAATTTTTGGCAATTTTTTTGCCAATAATGACATTTCTTTCTGATTTTACGTGCCGTCTGAATTCGACCCAGGGTTTGGAAGTAGGAAATGTTTTCCGGCATATGTTCATTGTCTTTATAAAACATCGTTCAATTCGAGTAAGTGAATCTCTTTAAAAAACGAAAACATCTTCAAGTTGATGATTTTATTTTCATTCTTATATATACAAGTACATATTTACAATTTTATATCAAAGTAATAACTCTGAAACACACAAACATATACACATATACAAACACACAACCATACACACATATACACACCTTTTAAATTGATAACTATACAATAACAAATAACAAAATATATAATTCAACAACAAAACAATCAAGGAATGTTTATAAGCACTCGTAACAAATATATGTAGACCTTTTTAAGTTCACTCGAATGTCTCTTAAAATTGCACAAATCTTTGGCGGAATGTCATTTTCATGGCACTTTGCGGCAGTATCAGGAAATAGCACCTCAGAATCAGTCAACTGACGAAATCACGGATGGAGGATCACACCTAAAATAAAATAATAAAATATTACTTTGGCTTCAATTAAAATTTATAATTAACTTGTAAATTTAATTATATAAGATGCATATATCTACATTTTCTTGAAAAGTTGTGAATGATAATGATATATATATATATATATATATATATATATATAATAAATATTCTTCAATTATAAAGTAGGTTTTTAATCTTATGTGACTGTAATGGTAAGATAGTCAGAAAATAAATACTTGATAATTTTGTTTTAATTTTACTCCACTATTGTTACAATGGAGTGAGTTTTCTTAAATGTAACTATACTGGTTTTTTGATTGGGTTCTTATTGCTCAGTCTTAAGTTTGCTATGTTGTGATTTGTATACTCTAGTTTGTCTTTTGATCGTTTTTTATTTGGGGGGGGGGGGGGAGGGGGCATGGCATTGTGACTTTGTTTTCGAATTATGGTTTTGAATATCCCTTTGGTATCCTTCGTCTCTCTCTCTCTCTAGAAAGGGACCTCCAAAATTGTTGTAACCCGATGTATTACATCATAAATCATTAAAACATCATGTCCGACGGAAGTCTATTTGAATATTTTTATGCCCCACCTACGATAGTAGAGGGGCATTATGTTTTTCGGTCTGTGTGTCCGTTCGTTCGTCCGTCCGTCCGTTCGTCCGTCTGTCCCGCTATAGGTTAAAGTTTTTGGTCAAGGTAGTTTTTGATGAAGTTGAAGCCCAATCAACTTGAAACTTAGTACACATGTTTCCTATGATATGATATTTCTAATTTTAATGCCAAATTAGAGTTTTGACCCCAATTTCAAGGTCCACTGAACATAGAAAATAATAGTGGGAGGGGCATCCGTGTAATATGGGCACACTATTTTTATCTATGTAATATGATTATTACCATGTGAGTTGCCTTGTGGACTGCTAATGTTCGTGCCTGACAGAACCCTTTTCCACAGACTGCACATTTGAAAGGTTTGTCTTTGGAATGGATATACCTGAAATAGAACATAAAACGATATAATATGACATTACAAGGGATTAAACACGTCCGGTCTTACATGAACATCGCCGATCTGATTGCTCACATTAGTTTCTGCTAGTACAAAAAAAAAATCAGAAGTTTTATATGAGAGCCCGAGTTTCTAAATAACTTGTAACAGTTTCCTACATACTGATGGGGGTAAATCAGTTCCTTAAATTTATAAAAAATGACATGTTGATTGTTGACACCCCTCCCTAACTCTTTTTATATTAACGTGAATCAAAATTACAAAATTACGAAACTAATTGTCCTTAAAAAGCAGTGAAAGTTGTCATCGAATCAAACAAAAGTGAATTTATGTTCCGAGAAACTGATTAATAAAACATACTTGTGATCTCTGAGATGGTCCTGTCTTCTGAACGCTTTTCCACAGATGTCACATGGGAATGGCCTCTCGTCTGTATGAGTTCTCTCGTGGATCAGTAGATTATAAGACTTGGTAAAATGGCGACCACAGTATTTACAGATGTATTCTTTCTTAGCTCTGTAATAAAATTTTACTTCATTATATATATTTCAAGGCACAGTATGAGGGTCTGGATGGAGGGGGAAGGGGGTCTTTCAATTATGTATTTTTTTAAGCATTTTTTCTCTATTTATTATAAATCTTGCTCTTTATTCTCTATTCTTTATAATTTAGCACCCCATTATTCTCTATTTTCTATTTTTTACCTATATTTCTCTATTCTGTAAACCCCATCCAGACCATCCAGTATGCACGATTTGTAGGTTCTATGCATTTCCATTTCAACCAAGAAATAAGTTTTCAAGTTTTAAACAGGAAGAAAGTTTATTCTTTCATTTGAAATTTTTCGAAAAAGGGAAATGAAAAAAAGGAGGAAAATTGGCAAAGAATAGCTAAGCCTGTGACATATTCCCTCCAAAATACAGAAGTTGTGTCTATTAAGCTTTTGTGCATATTTTAAATACTAATCATGTGTGTATATTTCCTTAGCAACAAGTAAAACGTGTGATACTCGTTTAATGTGGTAACGCGTTTCCTTTCATTCAAATTTGTGTTACATTCAATTTTTATGTAATACTTGTGTGTATGAAAAAACAAACATGACTTCCTTAGGTATATATTTTTCATTAATTTAATCTTTAGGCATATTTTTGAACGAAGAATGCAACATAAATGATAGAACAGGTCTGAGGGGGCCAGATGAGCTTCTCAATGTGGGGTCCGATTCAACCACCCAAAACCAACACCATCACTACTCACATTAAATATTATTTTGGACCTCAACCTTTCTTCTTATTTAACACACTCTTAAATACGTTTCGCCAACTATTAAAACAATCACACAATGGAATTTGATATCTGAATACTATATCTTCTCATATTTAAAACATCATTGTATTTGTATAATTGGTATAAACACTTTAATAACGAGTTAGAAACTTTGTCAACGCAATTAAATATGTACAATAAAGTTGTTTTTTTTCTAATGTTGAGATTAGCATATACGATTACTAGTCAAGTTGAGGTTCAATACAAAACTATTACCTTCTTGGTTTTTTTCCTCTGTTTAAATCCATTTTCAGCGGGTATTTGTTGTAATGGAATGGGTACCTCATACGCATTCTGAAATGAAAGAAAAAATCATTACATTAGAATAAAAGTAATGTTTGCAACTTTATACAAAAGCATTTTTAAAACGCCAAATTCTACAAAAAGTATCTAATGAAACGGGTTTTAAAAGTCTCTCGTGGTTAAAAAGAGTAGTGTATTAACTATACGGGTTAAATTTTCACTTCACTTCCGACTACAAAGGGAAGTCACTCTAAATTCAAAATGAAAAGAAAAATTATCCCTGATGTTTGTATGATAGAGAATAATATAGAGTAAAATTTTAAATTTCACAACTTGAAGAATGACAGTTCTTCAGTAGCTATATATGTATATAGATAGATAGATACGTTATGATTCAGGTTAAATTCAAAAGAATTATCTAGTTAACAAACAAAAGTTTCAATTCAAGCTGCTGAGCAACATTACATTACAAAAATGTCCTTACCTTGAAGATTCTAAGATGTACCGCCATGCATGACTGACTACATATGCGTCTCTGGTCTTTTCTGGAGAACTGGCTTCTTCATCGCTGTTTCCATTATGTCCAGTTGCAGCTTCAGCTAAGTGGTGGAAGTCGAATTTTGGTGTTTCAGGTTTTTTATACTCTAAAATTAAAAGAACGATATGAGCAAATTGCATTTTCATATTACCTTTAAGTGGTCAATTTCCTGTTTCTATGAGTGAAAAGGCTTCGAAACATAAAACCAAGTAGCAGTTTCAAGTGATCATGCGCTAACTATTTCGTACTTTCCCGCGCTTTTAAGTAGAAAGACAAAAGCTACTGAAAACACTATTTCTCGGTTATTCGCTGCGTCATTATTTACAATATATGTAATCTTAATAACAATTTACTTCCAGAAAAGTGGTTTTTCAACGAAATGATTGTTAATTGGCTATGTTAAATGCTAGATAAGACAAAAATTCGACCTCATTTTGAATGAAACTTGACATCTCATTCACAAGCTTCCTATGAATAAATTAAAATTCTTTCATGTCCGATGTTTAAGCTTATCTTTTCCGAAAGTATTGTTATCTTTCATCTATTATAGTCATATACGAGGCTATATAGAGGGTAATTTATGTCCTCATTGGCTGTGATTTGACCGCTTTAACCACACTTTAATGAGCGGCAGGCTTCTGTTTACTGCGTTCTACCACATGTTCGTTGTTGTTTTGTAGATTAAAATATTTGAGAATTTTCGTACATTATTTTTTTACTGAAATATCAATAAGTTTTTATTCAGTAACACGAATATAAGGTTTGTAATGGATTTATGAATCAGCCATTGGCAGGTAAAACTATTGTACTTATTCAGACCAGACAGCTGTGTTTGGTCTGTTTATTCTTCTCCTATAAATCATTTCTTTTATAATTCAAGTCTTCAATAAATCATACTGGTATTCATATTACATGAAGAAAGACTTATTCTTTGATTAACATGGGTTTTTGTTTTGTTTTATTTTTCATTTCATTTGGGGGGGGAGGTAGGGGTGGCTGTTCCTCTTTTTTCATTGCTTGACTGAATTTTATGTAATTTTTGTTTGCCATTTTGCTTTCGGTTCGGTTCCTCATCGTTTGTCTTCACTTCTGGCTGGCCAAACGGGTTTACAATGAAGACAAATTTTAAACTCAAACGCTGACTATTTGTAATGTTCTTTGCACATGAGCAGATAATCCCTTTGCTTCGCAATGCTTTCCCCTTCTTTCACAAATTATACTCTGGTAAAAATTAAGTAAGCACGTATCCATAAATTTAATTATAGTAATAAAAATGCATACCTGATGCAAAACTGTCATCTGAAGAAACCTCTGGAGATGAACAACTGTTTGCTCGTGCTGAAAGGTCAAGGATGGGACTACTGTCATGGTAACTTGGCAGGTAATTTCGAATGCTTGTTTTGTTTGGTGTAGAGTATGCCGTCTGGAGCATGAACAAATTGTTATACATCAGACTGTAAGGGTAACAGGATAAAGCATCGCCATAGGTCATCTGTGGATATAGTAGCGAGGACTGCGGACAACATGATTGAGATGGTTTACTGTACACTGGTGACGGACACACTATACCTGGACTTGTCATGATGAACAGTTTATTCTACAAAATAAATTATCAACCTGAAAATTCAAGTTTCAGTGGATATTCGTCTAAAATTATTCGGTGCTTTTGACAAAAACAACATTCATACTTCAACGGTTCTTTGACCATATTTTTGTTGTATACATGATTAACGTTTGATTAATTCTTGTCTTCCTAACGTCCAGTGACAAGTACTTCAAGACGAAAATTTAAAATTCGAAATTATGAGCAGAGCGCACACATGTTTTTCATTTCTCCACTTTAGCAAAATTCATGATTTGCTATCCAGAAAAAGATTTTTGTCGAAAAGTTGGACGAAAAATGTACATTGGCATAATGAAAAAAAAAATTCAATGAAAGTTTCGTGGAAATTAAGTCAGATTTTGAAGGAGTTGTGGAAACAAGATGTCCACACGCCTTCTGTTTATAAGTTAAAAAATTTCGAAGTAAAACCCAAAGATAATTTAGGTTAAAAACTAAAATACAAAATGCATAATGCCACTCGATATTATAAATTTTCTGTGAAAGTTTCATTGAAAATCACAATCTTGTGTAGGAGGAGTAAAGTGCATAAAGTGTACGCACAGACAGACGGACGCGTATACATCGCTCACTTTTTATCGCCGCTACAGTAAGCGAGGGTAAACCAAATAGTAAAAAGAGATGGTTGTGCAAAGCAGGTTGACAAGATTTGGACTTTCGCTAGAAATTTGAACTTTCGTTGGAAAAAGAGGGGAAAGATATCCAATGTACCCTTGCAATAAGACAAAGCGTTCTTTCAACAGTAAATAGCTGTATATATTTGTATATCCCGAATGGCTAAATGGACACCCTCTTTGTGTGTTACCTCCCTGGACGAGGGAGTTGCTGGTTACTACTATAATTATATACACCAGTCGGACCTTGGGAAGAATATTAACATACAAATTTTGATTTTTATTCACATAAAAAAATAGTGAAAATCAATTCAGTTCCTAATTAAGATTTAAATTGATTAAAATGTGATAAGCCTGTGGTATTAAGCTTGGATAAGTATGCTGCCGTATCATCACAATAGGTTTAAGGTTGATAAAAAAAAAATAAACTGTCCTCTTTAAGAACGAAAATAGTCAGATAATTCCTACTCATATATATCAAATTGTAAAAGTTTATTTATGTGATGGTGTTGAAAAGGGAAATTCCAAGTATATCTTATTCCTCGATCACTAATCCTATACATGTAGTATATAAGTATCCGTGTTCATATACTATATAAGTATATCATATTGTTTGTCAATATTTATACCAATCATTTCCGGGATTCAAAGGTGCAAATTGAACAAAAAAAAAATAATTTTGCACGTGAGTTTTTTTTTTAATGGAAGCAGAAAAGCGGTACTTTTAATTGAATAAAGAAAACAAAACAATCCAACCCCTAACCCCCAAGTACAAACATTCATTTTGCACTGGACGATTTCTTAATGGAAGCAGAAAACCGATACCTAAAATTGAAAAAAGAAACATGAAACCGATCCCCGCCCAAACGAAGTGAAAAGAGCTAGAAATCTGAAGTTTGTATCTAAAGACCATATTACAATCTCATTTGAAATATGACCATTGAAATCCGAACAGGAAAATGTTTTTCAGTTTCAAAATAACCATAAGAGTTTTGGTTGCAATTATTTCATAGAAGCTTTTCCATGAATAGACAATTTATCCTACAAACAAGTAACATTACGTACTTTTAAAATAAACAATAAAAGAATTACAAGTGGTGTTGCAGTTATTTCATAGAAGCTTTTCCATGAATAGACAATTTATCCTACAAACAAGTAACATTACGTACTTTTAAAATAAACAATAAAAGAATTACAAGTGGTACAAATAAAGACATACGATTTTTGTTTATTTTTCCAAGAATTTATTGGAACGGGCATTCTTTAACCCAGATTAAAATCTTTGTCGGAAGAGAAGCTTTGTATTGTCTTTGAGATAAAAATTAATGCATGATGGTTAAAATTGTCCTTCAATGCAAAATTTTATAAAACATTTTAAGTTTGCAATATTGTTACAAAATTGTCTCCCACAGCAACGTTCCAAACTGTATGTGAATCTGGGAGGGGTTTACAGAATACAGAATAACGGGCCAAAAGATAAAAAAAAGTATAATGGGATGTTAAAATATAAATAATATAGAAAAATAGGGGGAAAATATAAAGAATAGAGAATAATTGACAAAAAAAAATTAGAAAGAATAGAAAAAATTGACAAAAAAATATAATAAATAGAAAAAATTGACAAAAAAAATATAAAGAATAGACAAAATTGACAAAAAAAATGTAAAGAATAGAAAAAAGTTAAAGAATACAGAAATGAAGGACCCCCTATCCAGACAATCCTGTACTGCATCATGTTTTTGAATACGTAAAATCATTGAAACGTTTTTAGTCAAACTTTCTAGTTGCTTTGCAACAAGAGCCCTGCAGACGACAGAAGCAGAATATAAACAAAGGTTGTTTATATCCTTGGTCTTTTTGTGGATAGTTTGACAACATATCTCGTCTGCTTAATTTTTCTAGTAAAGTATCATGTCCTTTTTCGTGTGCTTTTAGGTCAATGGATCATTTTGATTGAAGTGTATTCTAATTTTCAGCGAAATGATGACGATTTCATAAAACCTCGTTTTTAAAAACAAAAATACACTGCAGGGAACTTTTAAAATTTCATCATACATGTAACTGTTCTGGATTTTTTTTTTAAATTCCAATTATATATGCGAATAAAATACAATTTTAATTGCATCAGAATCCTGGTTGAGAGTAAAATAATGTATATAATAAGACGCACTAAAATATGTATTATTAAGAACTCAAAGGTAGAATTCCATGCTGTCCACGAGATGAAAAATCATTACTTTATTTCCTTATAGACCAAAATGGAGGTTTTTTTTGCGCCCGTCTGCTTTTGGGTTTTTTTTTCGGGTCTGGGGTATTCAAAAATAAACCAAAATTAATATTATTTGAAAATAAAAAGGCAAGTGTTTTTAAGGGGATTTTAAATTGGAATAATATAATGGAAAAGAAAAGATATGGTGCAATTCATGACACAAAATCCTTTCACGCACATGGAAAAACCAGAAGTAAATAAATGGCGTTTTTATTGTTGTGTTTCATCTCAAAGTCATTATAAAGCTTTCATCTGGGAGAAAAAAATCTCACATTGCAAATTCAAGACGCGCTTAGCACTGGTTTGAGCGTAATTATTTGCTAAATGATGACCACGCTACAACTGTGTATTGAAAAACACAGCTGCTGGTGATATTAACAAATTGTAAATTGAATCTGGCAAAGAAATCTAAAAAATACTGTCCTAAGTTGCACCACAATTTCGCTGTACACCAAAGAAACAATTCAAACAAACAAAAATAATAACATTATATACTAATTTGTAGTTAGTAGCATGACCAAAATTTTGAACAGTAATAATTTTAATTAAAAAAAATTGGTGTCAAATTGTTGTTCTAATATATGTTGTTTTTTTCTCTGGTGGGCTAGCGAGGTTTTGAAAATTGAACTTGACGCAAAGCAGAAACAGCCTAATTACGATCCTACGTTGACCTTTTAATCTCATAAATAACTCATGGAATTTCTTAAGTAAAATGAAAATCTTTTCTGGAATTACAGACCGGACAAAATAGTTTGGTCAGACGTCAAGCGTATAATTGTTTCCCCGATTCTTTCCCATTAAAAGTTCATTATCAAATCCCAGTATGGTTATGAGATGTGTGGATGTGGACGGGGTTTTCAAATAGAAAACAATGGGTACAAAATAAAGAGTAGAAAACATAGGCCCAAAAAATAAAAAATAGAGTTTATTGGGATGCTAACATATAAAGAAAGACAGTTTATTGGCAAGCAAATAAAGGAAAGAGAAAAATGGTATTAAAATTACAGAAATAAAGACCCACCATCCAGATCCTCAGATGTGCGATATTTGTCAATAAATTAACACAGCAACCTAGCCACATAAATAATCAAAAGACATCTATCGGACAACATGTATTTTTTTTAAATATTCGACCACCAGTATTTTACTTTTATATTTCTTCCTGTGATTTTTTATTCATAATTTTATATTTTATCGTTAAATTTATTGTTATAAAACTAATTATTATTAGTATTATCATCCGGAAAGTATTAAACTATCTTTCGACCTTTTAACAAGTAAAGGAATAGATCCAATAAATAAATGGCAGATATATTTTGAGAGAAAAAAATGTCCGTATTCGTGACAGCATAGAATGCTTTAACTTTTCTCATAACATTATATGAACTGGTAGCGCCATGTTGTATGAACTTGACATTAGCTACTTCATTCTCTATGAAAATATTCTCTTCAAAATACTGTTCAGGAAAAGAACGAGTGAATCAAATTCGTATATACTTAAAATGTAGAGCTTTTGTATACAAAAGCCTAGAATGAATGAATGAATCGTATACTATACTTTTTCCATATAATAGCCAGGTCATGAAATAAAAAAGTCATCAGTATTTTAACAACTTCCTTTGGGAGCAACAAAGTGCCTCAAATACTAAAATATTTTAAAAAAAATATAAAATTTATAATTTTGTAATGTTTAATTGAATGATAAAATAATTGTATTATTTTTGTTATTTATAAAAACATTTAACCTTTGATCCAACATGGATTTAGACTTTTATTTTCATTGGTTTCAACCCAAAATGAGAACAGTTAACTTGAAAGAAATTAAAACTATACATGAGTCCCAGTGATATTGGTCCAGCAAAAATATGAACAGCAAAAATATTAAAGAAAAAATTGAATCTAAATTTTGTTTTAACTAATTTTTAATTAAAAAAAAATAGATATCCTAACGATTCGGATGAATATCTTTGAAATAAAAATTTAAAAATATGCTCATATAACATAACACTTGAAGATGACTTAATAATGATTACATTTTAATTCCTCTCGCAATTAAATTCATATCATACATATAGTTCAAGTGACTTTGTACAAGTACACATATACTAGTAAATATATATATTGCACCACTTCATTTAAAGTTATATTTCGGATTCTTGTCAAAGGTTACTTTTTAAGTTGATTTAAAATCGAAACAATGTTGTTTATTTTAATAAGAAATATCAAAATAAAATAAATCTACACAAAATATTAACTAAATATTTAACAAATTAAAATATTAAAAAACTTACCGTTAATTATATGTTGACTCTGACAAATTGTAATTTATTATGAGCAGGTATTTCCCTGTGACCGGCTATTATAAATTTTCGAAAGACAAAGACTGTGTATTAAAATAGTGTCAGTGAGTTTTGATTAATATACATAACGCAACTAGTCTCCGCTAGGTGGCGCTATGACGAGGCAATGTAAATACTTGTAAGTGGACACTTACAAAAATTTCGTTTTTACAGGCTGATGTGTCGGCAAACTAAAAAAAGAATGTTGAGATGTAACATAAAACCGGAACAATTAGTAATATGTTTACAAATTATCACACGTAATTTATCTCAATTAAGTAATTCACGAGTTGATTATTGAGTTAACGGATAACGGATTTATAATTAGATGACTATAGCGGACAATACAAGATTGTTTTTGTATACCTATAATCCTTTGTTTACTAAATAAATAATTTTGAAAAAGGTGAAAATAATTCCGTCAAATATTTAGGGGAACTGTAAACATTTTAACAAAGAAATGTCCCTCCCTGTGTTGTTTCAGTTTGTTCGTATTGGCTATATCATCAGAAAAGTCAACACGATAGGACTTTCAGTTTGCGGTGATATCTTAGCTTTTTTGTTTGATATAGACACTGAAGATGTAACACATTGAAATGCATATAGGTTTTAGTATCTTTTACAATATATATATATATATATATATATATATATAATAAACATATTTAATACCTCTTCATGATTTCAACTTTTATTTTGATTAACATCTTTAATTCAGATATGATATTGATTTGGAATTTAACAGAAACTTCGGTTTCATAAAAAAATCAAATCAGTGGCATATTATTATACGGCTTCAATTTTCAATTTCAACCAATTTTTTTTAAGTTACATATAATAATTATTTCAAATATGATATTCATTTTGGAATTCGCGACCCTTGATTAAGATCAGTTGTTGTTTAACTGAAATTTCGATTAAAAAAAAACAACATTCTTATATATCAGTATATAGATATTATACCTCAGTCTCCAATTTCAACTTTTTTAAAAGTTACATCTATATTTCAAATATGATATTCATTTTGGAATTCGTAACCCTTGACTAAGACCAATTGTTGTTTTACTGAAATTTCGATTTCATAACAATGAAAAAGCATTCTTATATAGCAGTGGCATATTATTATATTCTTCAATTTCAACTTTTAAAAAAGTTACATCTATATTTCAAATATGCTATTCATTTTGGAATTCGTAACCCTTAATTAAGGTCAGATGGAGTTTAACTAAAACTCAGTTTCATCACTCACAATTGTAGGTTTTTAAGAAATGTTTTAGAATTTTTTAAAAAATGAGAAATTATTGGGTTAATGTACAGAGGTCATATATAGAGACCTGGTTCTATTAAAATCAAAGATTAGGTCACAGTTGGTAAGACTAAAAAGGCCAAAGTCGTGTTTTTCTTATAAAGTAGAGTGATGGTTTTATCTTGTTTATTATGATCCTGTGTGTTGGTCTTATCATTATTAGGGGATGACTATTTGTTAATATGGGGGTGTGGTGGCAGCATTAAGTTTGCGGATTGACTATTCATTTTCATCTGTTGCTACGCATGCTAACTTTTTTTCACTTTTTGTATATAACTCTTTCCTGCATTTTGTGTTTCAGAACATTTATTTTCAATCTGTCTTATGCAAGGTTATTTATTTTCAGCTCTAACCAGGCCAGGATTTTCATTGTCAAAATCCTCCTGGCTCCCCCTCCCCCTCCCCGAATTTAAAATCAAATGGTCGTCCCCTTATTTTATTGCACCCTCAAAAGTTTAATTTTGTTAGTTTTTATGGACTTTCCATCTTTGAATTTGCCTTGGAGTTCGGTTTCTTTGTTATACTTTTTCCGTATCAATGCTATCTGAGGATTTCTATTGCATGTCGATTGTAACTCTGGTACATGTGAACTAGGATCTAGAACAAATCTAAATGATGAAATATAATAATATGACACGTTCGGAATGGTGTACTTTTTTCATTGTAAAATTATAGAATAAATCTATTGTGTTCATAACAAATGTCTGGTTCTGTATGTTATGTAACAAAGGCTTTGATATAGTTTATGGATATAACACTCATTTTCAGTCTTCTGTGATTTAAATTTGTTCTTTTGTCACGATTATACTTTTTCAGTCTGTCAGCTGATTTCGAGAATAGGTTGCTCTTAGAAAAAAAATTGCATTTTCCCAGTCTTCTTTAAATTGGATAAGATTTCATAATGATAACACCGATAGCTTATTGGTTTAAACATGGAGGTTATTTTGACGGCAGTCTTATACTTCCATGGTTTAAATATCAACTGATTTGATTCGAGCAGAGAATCGTGTTGGAAACCATGATGCATATTTTGAGATTACACATTTCAGAGGATAGGTGGTGGCCATGACTGCTAGCCATGATTGCATAAAGTCCAGTGACAGTTATTTAATTCGAATTAAGCACGAAGTTAATAAGGACCATATTGTTGAAATGGTTCAATAGCGGTCCCTTGTCGGCGAAATTATATAAGTGAATTTTGAATCGCTTTCCCGTCCGATGAAAATGTCGTTACAAAATCTCCAATTAAAATGCCCAAACTTCGGCTGGTAATTTTCAAATCTCCAGTTGTGATTTGACAACTCTGTCAAATGTCTGCTTTTGTCTAATTTAGTTCAGTTTTAAATTTGGCTATTTGTAGTTTATACGAATTCGTAAGGGAAAAACAAGAATACTAGTCAACAAAAGAAACGATACAAGGCCATGTATTTTCCATATATAATGAAATTGGATACACTGTATCTAGGTAAATAATTGCCCAATTGGTCTAATATTTACAGAGTTTTATTTTCTTATCAAAACCATTGATTTAAGGCAAATACGCGAATTTTTTTTGCAATTTTTGTTATTTCAAAAATCGTATTTTCACCCAAAAATTTAAAAATCGATATTAGAACATTAAACTTAAACATGGTCTGCTTAAAATTTTGAATGCCTTTGCAGGTATTTGAATACTTAATTCTCATCTTCGAAATTAAATTTTGTCATCACTTTCCGCAAAATAAATTTGACCCCTGTGTTCAATAACACGGTATTTTCTCACTTTCCAATTTAGTCAGATTCTTATAATCATATGCATTTGCTTTGCAAATGAATGTTTTTTATTGGATAATTTAACATTTTTTTTCTATTAACTATATTTTATGATAAATTGGAGTTCAAACTTGTGTATCGTTACTTTTGTTGACTAGTATATTAAAAGTTCCTGAGCAACCACCACAAGATATAACTTTTATTTTTAAAAAATACGTCCTCTATACGTGTCGCAAGTAGCAAGTTGGCATCATTGTGCCTTTACACATGAGAATCTTAATGGCAGTTAACATTCTCGAAAAAATTTGATTGGTTCATTTCCCACAAATTAGAAAAAAATCAATTTAGAAGATGAAAATAGATTCGATTGTTAAAATTCAGTGCAAATCGATTTGACAATTGTATTGATATTTTTGTGAAATTCAAATATCTGAGAAAAGGCTAGAGTTTATATGTTTTATATTGTCTGGTATATTAATACAATGTACGTTGAAATATTACACTCCGAATTAACGAAAATAGGTGTTACTGTTATTCGTCCTTTTTGTGCGCGGGGGTGGGAGGAGAGGATTTATCTATTTTCTTATTTTCATTGGAAACAAGCTGTTTTTCGCTTCCATATGAATATTTCTTTCAAAGACATTTAGAATCAAACATTTTTTTCTGAAACCGCGAAATGTATGACTTTCTGAAGTAATTGATTATGTGATGACCAGTCTGGGTGAGGACCAGTCTGGGTGAGGACCAGTCTGGGTGATGACACATGTAATATATTTCTCATGTCAACTCGATATTTTGTCACCTTTTAAGGAACAAACTGAAAAGTAACGAAACTGTGGTGAAATTATCAGAATTTCCGTAATTGTTATGATTTTATGGTAGTAGTACCATAAGATTCCTGTAATAAACGGTATACAATGGCGCCCACAGGGTCTCTGGTGTAAATTACCTGATGAATGCTATTGATATTCATGGTAATAAAATTAAATAGGTAAAAGTTAGTTCTAGCACAGAATATTTCAAGGAACCCATTTAGTACAAAACAAGCGGGAAAATTATACAATGAAATATTTTATGTAACGAAAAATATCTTAGTAGAAACTTGGAACGTTTAATGATTAAAAGAAACATAAAATGATCGGACTTTTTTTAATCCTGCGCTAAATAGACATATCATTGTTTTATTCTTATACAATGCAATTGCAACTTTAATCGCCAATTGGTGTTATACGTTGCACTGTTACACTAAGTAGTTATAGGAAGATGTGGTGTGAGTGCCAATGAGACAACTCTCCATCCAAGTTACAATTTATAAAAGTAAACCACTATAGGTCAAGGTACGGCCTTCAACACGGAGCATTGGCTCACACCGAACAGCAAGCTATAAAGGGTCCCAAAAAAATACTAGTGTAAAACCATTCAAACGGAAAAACCAACAGGTCTTAAGGCACGTTTAGATAGAAAGAAAATAAAAGCATGCATTACAAAACAAGTTTATCATAAGAAAATGACCCAATTTTTCCTAAAATGGAGGATTTTTTTTCTCAGAAAATTCTTTTTTTTTCTCTCTCTCTCTTTGCTTTTCCTTACTTTAACTTTGCTTTTTTCTAAGAATATATTATTTTTTAGATTTGGGATCCCTTATTTTTTAATTTTTCTCAGAACATTCTTTTTTTTTTCTCTCTCTTTCTCACTTCGCTTTTCCTTACTTTAACTTTGCTTTTTCAAAGAATATATTATCATCACAACTTTATGGTATTGTAATCTTCTTCCCATTATAAAGCAAACAAGAAATTACATTTCAAAGTCGCCGATAGCTTATTATTTGTTTATTATTCTAATCAATGACCAATTATGTTAAGTAATTAATGCAATAAAAGGGAGATAAATTGAACTCAAATAAACATTTACCAATAGATACGAAATCAGGTGTGCGACAAGGTGTCCGCTTATCAAGTTACATTTTTGCATTATCGCTTTCGTTCAGCAAACATTTTACGGTATATTATTCATTTACATGTAATAGATCTCGCCGAAATCAAA